GGGGGCCTCTCTGGCCAGGCCCTCTCGGAGTATATCGTGACAAGGAGCGGCCTCGCCGCATCTCTCCAACTCCCACTCTTCCACGCCGCCCATCTTGCCCCCCCTACACCTCCTCTTTCTCTGAGCAGGCCGACCTCCAACACCGGCCTCCAGGCAAGCCTTGAACTCAGATAAAACGTGGCGCCCCAAATGCTCCCAACCGCCCGGGTAGTAAAAACAAGGGGTCGGCGAATGTGGCGTAAGCCTTTCGAACTGCTTGTCAAATTGGCCGAACGGTTCAAAACTCACTGACACCAAGCACAGGCACTCGTCGTTCCGGCACTGGAAACGTCCAAAATATTCCCCCCTGGAACCCGTGTAGTCTGACTCCTCACATGCTTGGGCGCATCCTCTCCCTGGGCACACATCGAACCTGGCGAGCAGCGACGTCGGCGCGGTGTGAGCCGCCGTCTGCGTAGCCGCCGCCCCTCCAGCCTCGGGCTTCTTCAGCTGCACGAGCGCGGCGTGTTCGCTCTCGCCCGTGGCCTCGCACGCCTGGTGGCCTGTGGGCTCGTCGGAGGTCGCTCCCTGACCCAGGAAGATTAGCAGCGGAACCACGGCGACGACCCTCGTGAACGGCATCGGGGCAAGCGGCGCAGCAAGCAACGCGGCGCGGCGCCGCGCGATGGGCGTCGGAAGTGGCTCGAGCTCGAGCCAAAATGGCTATGGATGTTGTTGTTGCTGCTGCTGCTGTTGTTGTTGGTGTTGCTGTTGTTGTTGATGATGTTGATGTTGATGTTGAAGTCGATGTTGTTGTTGTTATTGTTGTTGTTGGTGTTGTTGTTTTTGTTCGTTGTTGATTGTTGTTGTTGTTGGTGGTTGTTGTTGTTGTTGGTGGTGTTAGCTGCTGTTGTTGTTGTTGCTGTTGCTGATGCTGTTGTTGTTGTTGGTGTTGGTGTTGTTTGTTGTTGTTGTTGTTGTTGGTGTTGTTCCCCATATCCTAAGATGGGGTTTTTGTTATTACTTGGACGCCTCCTACTCCTCCTCTTTCCTCCTCTTCCCTCCTCCCCTCCTCATACTCAGACTTACTCATACTCAGACTTACTCATACTCAGAACTTTCTCATACACAGACCTACTCATACCCAGACTTACTCATACACAGACTTACTCATACACAGACTTACTCATACTCAAGCATACTCATACTCAGACCTACTCATACTCAGACTTACTCAACACACATCAGATTTGGAGGATGTCTCAAGCGGGGCGCTGGTTTCAGCACCCCTAAGGGGAGCCGCCAGGGGTGTTTGCACGGGCTCGTTCGCGGCCATTTTGTGGGGATGTCTCAGGCGGTTTGCTTGTTTCTGGGCTCAACATCCTTCGCTTGGAGAGCAGATTGTGAGGATGTCTCAGGCGGGGCGCTGGTTTCAGCACCCCTAAGGGGAGCCGCCAGGGGGTTGCACGGGCTCGTTCGCGGCCATTTTGTGGGGATGTCTCAGGCGGTTTGCTTGTTTCTGGGCTCAACATCCTTCGCTTTCGGAGCAGATTTGGAGGATGTCTCGAGCGAGGCGCTCATTTTCGCCCTCCAGGTGGGCCAGATTTTGAGGATGTCTCGATCGGTTTGCTTGTTTTGGTGGCCAGGCTCGTGGCCCTAAGGGGAGCCGCCAGGGGTGGTTGCACGGGCTCGTTCGCGGCCATTTTGTGGGGATGTCTCAGGCGGTTTGCTTGTTTCTGGGCTCAACATCCTTCGCTTTCGGAGCAGATTTGGAGGATGTCTCGAGCGAGGCGCTCATTTTCACCCCCCAGGTGGGCCAGATTTTGAGGATGTCTCGATCGGTTTGCTTGTTTTGGTGGCCAGGCTCGTGGCCCTAAGGGGAGCCGCCAGGGGTGGTTGCACGGGCTCGTTCGCGGCCTTTTTGTGGGGATGTCTCAGGCGGTTTGCTTGTTTCTGGGCTCAACATCCTTCGCTTTCGGAGCAGATTTGGAGGATGTCTCGAGCGAGGCGCTCATTTTCACCCCCCAGGTGGGCCAGATTTTGAGGATGTCTCGATCGGTTTGCCTGTTTTGGTGGCCAGGCTCGTGGGCGCAGATTTTTCTCAGGATGCCACAGGAGGCTCCAACAGGCCCCAGGAGGCCCCAGGAGACCACATGAGGTCCCAGGAGGCATCAGGAGGCCACAGAAAGATTCAAGAGGCCACAGGATGTCCCAAGAGGCTCCAGGAAGCCCCAGGAAACTCCAGAAGGCCTCCGGAAACCACAGGTGGCCCCACGAGGCAACAGGAAGTGCCAGGAGGCCTCGGAAGGCAACAGGAGGCCCCGAGAGGCCCCAGGAGCAGGAGGCCTCAGAAGGCAACAGGAGTGGTTCCAATCCCATGTGTTTTACGTATGCTCCTATCGCTTGGGCCTCACCTGGAGCACGATTCTTTGATGTTCTACGTATGTTTCTATATATTGTCCTTCTCCTGTGTAAGCAATCCTATTTGTTTTACTTTTGTTCCTATATATTGGGCCTCTCCTGGGGCACGAGTCCTTGGTGTTTTACGTGTGTTCCTGTAGACCCATATACAATATTACCTTTAAAAAAGGATGCACATATGCGGAGCTCCACGCAGTGAGTAAGTGTTGTTGTTGTTGTTGTTGTTGTTGTCGTCATCGTCGTCCCCCCCCGCGACCTACTGGGCGCTGGGGGGGCGCTGCTGGGGGGGCCAGCGCAGCGTCGCTATACTCAGATTCTTACCAAACCTCGCCATCCCAGGAAGGTTGCGATCTGCGAAACAGTCGTCAGTTTCGGGGTCAACGGAGTGACGTCCTGCGCAGATTCAGAGTCGACCTCACCATCCCTAGGGGGTGGCGATCAGCGAAACGGTCGCCACTTCCGAGGACTGCCGGGGGGGCCAGCACAATGACGACATATTCAGATTCACGCTATACATCGCCATCCCGGGGGGGGGGGGGGCGCGATCTGCAAAGCTGTCGCCACTTTCGAAAGCCGCTCGGGGGAAGCACAGTGACGCCACACCAGATAAAAAATATCCCGGCAAAACAACCTAACAGCGATGTGTATAAGCATATCTGGAAGCATTCCCCTTTCAGATTCAGGTGAGAATCCAGTTGTAGGATTCTGCTGTTCTCGCAGTCGCAGTCGCATTCGCCATGACAGTCGCAGTGGCAACGGCCTTAGGATCCAATGGAATCCTAAGGATTCCTAGGGATTCCTCAGGTATCCTTAGGCATCCTTAGGAATCCATAGGGATCCTGAGGAAACCTTAGGAATCCTTAAGAATCTGGATTCCTAGGGATTCCTAAGGGTCCCGATGGAATCCTAAGGATTCCTACCTGAGCCTGCCTCGGCCTCAGCCTCAGCCTGCCTCAGCCTCAGCCTGCCTCAGCCTCAGCCTCAGCCTGTCTCAGCCTCAGCCTGCCTCGGCATCAGCCTCAGCCTCAGCCTCGGCTTGCCTCGGCCTCAGCCTCAGCCTGCCTCGGCCTCAGCCTCGGCCTCAGCCTGCCTCAGCCTCAGCCTCAGCCTGCGTCAGCCTCAGCCTGCATCAGCCTCAGCCTCAGCCTGCCTCAACCGCAGCATGCCTCAGCCTCAGCCACAGCCTCAGCCTCAGCCTGCCTCAGCTTCAGCCTCAGCCTCAGCCGCCTCGGCCTGCCTCAGCCTCAGCCTGCCTCGGCCTCAGCCTCAGCCTCAGCCTGCCTCAGCCTCAGCGTCAGCCTCTCAGCCTCGGCCTGCGTCAGCCTCAGCCTCAGCCTCAGCCTGCCTCAGCCTCAGTCTCAGCCTGCCTCAGCCTCAGCCTGCCTGAGCCTCAGCCTCAGCCTGCCTCGGCCTCAGCCTGCGTCAGCATCAGCGTCAGCCTGCCTCAGCCTCAACCTCGGCCTGCCCCAGCGGGGTCTCAGGCTTGTCGGGCGGCGCGGCGCCACCCGACAAGCCTGAGACCCCCCCCCTCTCGGAGACACTGCCTCCCCGCAGACCCCAGCTGTCAGGTCGCGGCCAGTCTCAGCCGCGCCCGCCGCGCCAGTCATCGTCGCCAAAGCTGCTCGCCCAGCGGCACCATCACCATCGATAGCGCGCCCGCCCCTGACGTCGAAGCAGCGCACTTCCTCCGCAGTCGCCTGCTCGCGGAACGCGGCTCGGCGACGGCCACCAACACAACCCTTTCCCCGAGTCCTCCACGGACTGGCCCTGCACCGACCCCGCCGCCTGGCATCGGCTCGCTCCCCGCCCGGACAGACGCTGAAGCCCCAGCCCGATCGCCAGCGACGGCGCCGCCTGCAAGCCCCCTCCCTCCGGCCGCCCGCGCCCCCTTGCCCCCCCTCGCACTCCGCCGCCCCGTTGGCGTCACCGCCGACAGCAGCAACCCCGCCAACTCCGCCGCCACCAGACGCACTCGCATCACCGCCCCCTGGCCCACCACCGCTACTGCCCTGCTCCTCACGCACGCCTTCAAACTCGGTCGCACGCGCGCCCGCGCCCTGTCCCTGACTGCGCCGCATTCGACAATATACTGCCATGTACGCCCCCTTCTGCTTGGTGCGCGCCGGCTCGTCTCGCATCAGGCGCGGTGGCTGGTCGTCGTCAAACAAGAAGTACCTCCCATCGTGCACGCGACACAGAGTCGTGTAACGGCCAACCCAAAGACCGCCCATTGTGGTAAACCACACCGACCAACTGCATCTGGGGGAGCCCTGGCAGTCTCAGTTGCTCTTCCACCCACACTGGCTCCCGCGCCTCCGAGACCCTCCGCAGTTGAACCACCAAAACCTGCGGCACACCAGTGACTCTCATCTGCCTAACGTGCTTAACCTGAGCGCGCTCGTCGCGACAACAATCCGCACAGCTCTTCTCGACATCCCCACGCGCACAGAAGTCGCAATACAACTCCTGCACCATCAAAGGCCCACCTGGACGCCCGTGAACACGCAGCTTCAGCACATCATCCGCATCGAACGCGCGACCGCCCGACTTCCCGAACGCCAAAACAAAGCGCTCTCTTCCATGATCAGCAGCAAGTGTAGCCGCCTTGCCAAAGGGCTCTGCGGCAGCACAGACTGTCATTATGCTCGAAGAGAGAACGCCAAGTCTTATCGATGCGCATGGAGAGCTCCACGGAAAAAGCAGCTATTGAATGTGATCTAGGCACCCAAAGCCCTGACACAAACATTCCGCGAGGCTCTTGAAATGTCCTGGCCGCGCGCGTAGACTCGACGAGGCCGGGCACCCTCGGCGGCCGAACGCCAAGTTGCTTCTTTGAGCCGCACGGACCACCAGTGCTCTGATAGAGTCAAGAACTGTTCTGCGATGATCGAAAGCACGCCAGGCGAAGCGCCAAAGAGCCAGAAAGTGCCGGCACACGTGACGAGAGGTACCCAGTTGTCGCCATGTAGCTGAATTCCGCACTTCCGTTCGAGACACCACTCAACGAAAATGTCGCCCGGCGCATCCAAAGCTGCATTGAATATTGCCAAAGCAGCTGGGTCTCCTTGCAACGGCGACCTGCGTCTGGCGATTGGCCCTGATTGCAAAGGACGGGCCGAGCTCAAATACCGTCCTGGCGCGGCGAACTTCCAGGATTCATCCGGCAATCAATATGCCAGGATTTCTCTTTTGTGTCGCCCCAATGATACATGTCTGACGCCACGTGCAGTCGCGCGCCTTGTGGACGGCGACCTTCCCGGCGCAGACGAGAACCACCGCCGCCGCCTTGACCCCAGGCAGAAGCAGAAGGTGGCGACTGAGAATCCATAATCGCGGCATAAGCCCCACGACAGCGCCGACGAAAACCCAGGCCCGAATCCGCCAACCAATGGCCAGACGCTGGGAGACAAAGAACCGCGGGAAATACTTGGCCGACCAGTCGGGCCGCAGAATCCTGGACACCGTAAAATTCTACGGCTTCCAAACCGAATCGCCCCACAACGAAGGGGCCATCAGGCGCGCTGCTGCCGCCCTCTGGGACCTATCCAACTATTGCGAGCATGTCGATCGAGACAGACAGTTCACGAGAGCTGTCCAAACAGGTTCCAACCAGGCCATTGCCACTTTGATTTTCAATCAGCATGGAGACCCGAGGCTTGTAGCGAGCCGAGGTCTAGCCACGTTTGTTGGAAGCCCGCAGTAAGGAGTACCCGCGGGAGGCAGTATCGCTGCTTTCATCGCCCAGATGTCTAGCCTTGCCCCGCTCGACGTCTAGGCCCAGGACGATCCGAAAATAAGCCCCCGCACGTCCATAGATGACCTCCCCCCAGGGCCAAGATAAGACCCCCCAGAACCCAATTACAAACCTCTCCTCCGCCGCCTTCAGCATGAAAGACTCGATCGGGATCGAAATGGGATGTATGATCGCATCGCGCAAATCGGCGGCCTTCGCGTCGTCGACTGCCGCTTGGAAACCTCTCGTTCGAGCTCTGGGGCTCCTGGCTGGACCTCAGACGGAAGACCGGATAGACCCGGCAGCTAACCTAGGCATCGATTACACGGCAGGAGGGAGAACCGATCTGGCAGAGGAAGGGCTGACCTCCGCGCTCGCTCCGCCAAGCCCCGCCCCCGCCTCCGCAAGCGCAAGTTGACGGCGCGGAATAGGGCGGGCGCAGACATTCGCAAGTTGCACGGAACAGGCTTGGACCGAGCCCAACAGTTTGGAACGGAAGTCGTGGGGCCCACAAATAACGAAGTCTGGCAGAGCCAAGATATGCACATACATATCGCGGGCAGAAGAAGCCATGCGCGCCCCAGATCCCTCTGCCCGCGCATCGAGGGAGACCCGACCTGGAAGGCCGCTCTGGGCCCCGTGATACATTATGGGCCAATGGTTAAAAGACTGTCGACGCAGCCACCGCTCTCGGGGACAACGCATGGAGAGTTTCGCCACAAAGTTCTAAACAGCATGAAGACCCCCAAAGAAATGGACGACATGCAGAGGACCCAGAGGACCCACGCAACTGGGCCTCGAGACGACCAACTGGACCATCAAGAACCACGTTTGAGATCGAGACCTCCGAGGGCCTGACGCTCCAGCTCACTGCAGTCTCGCCAGTGCTTCTCAATCACCATCCCGAGGAGGCCTGGAGGGGGAATCTCGAGAAATGCGCGGAGGCCAAGCATTCCTGCCAGGGCAGGTTAGACGTCACAACTGCCAACAAATCCCTGGATGACCCCAGCCTCACCCCCTCCGAGAAGAGCAGCATGATGTCCTACCTCACCCAGTGCTTGTGGACAAAAACTAGGCCCGCGGCCGCAGGTTACGACAACGACACGACGTGCCCGTGCGGACACGAGAGAGATGGCATGGCGCACAGGTTCGAGTGCCCCCTCATCTCCAACCTGAAAAGTGAGATCCGAAACCCCCAGAGTAAATCGCAATCGCACATGGAAGGGTGCACCCTAGCAGCTCCCCTCGCCCACGGATTACAGTTTCAGCCCCCAGCCTGCGGCACGCGCCTGGAGGGTTTTGGAACCTCCTGGGAGTTTTAGTCCCGAAACGGAGGCCCGATTGACGTGGCGATGGCTGAGGAAGGTTCTGCTGACGGAGGTTTCTTGAAACAGGGCCCCCCATTCTCGCGCCAGACTGGATGGGCCGCTGCTGTGCTCGACGACGAGGGGGGGTGCAAAGCGCACCTCTCGGGACAGACGGGAGAGCTGCTGCCGCCCACCTCGCCAGCTGCAGAGCACTCAACCACGGCCGTTAGTCACATGTGCCCGCGTCTCACCCATATCCGAACACCTAGGGGCCATCACCAAATATGGCCAGGCAAATCTAGACCGGAAGAATACCTATGCGGGGTTGAAACTGCTTGCAAAGGGTAAACATAGAGGGGGGAACCCTTCCTCGGATATGTAAAATAAAAGCTCAGCCGGGACATAGCAGCCCTCCCCCAAAGGTCCACCTGGCCACGGGAAATGACATTGCTGATCGATTAGCGAAAGCTGTTGCCAGTAAAGCGGGAGGGCCTTCGGACGCCGAGGTCCACGATTTCTGACAGAGCCATGGTTTCTTGCTGCATGTGTTACGGTTTCTCGCGAGAGGCCTGCCAACCTGGCCTGCGATCGCCCCGAAACCTGGCAGCAAGGCCCGCGAAAGGCCCACGTTTAAGCCCGAGCGAAAGCCCCTGGTAGGTGCCGCCGTCCTCGCCCCTTTCTTGCCTTCGTTCTACGACCCTCCTGGGATCCATGTGGCCGACGCTGGCGACCCCGCTGAGGGAGACCAGAAAAAGAAGGCGGCGCCCACCAGTGGGCATTAGTATATGATAGCCTCTGGATGTGCGAGCTCTACACAGTCAGAGCGCGATCCGAGGCCGCCCGAGTCCGAAAAGATGGCCAGGCCAGTCCTGGGCACTGTGCTAGTCTGTCGGCCCTTTCTGTTCAGAGGAACGGCCACGACATTTACGTTTTCGATCGCGCCTCGAGAATGATAGTTGTGTTCTGGCATGCTGGTCCTGCGGCGCTTACAGTGGATATTACCCCAAGGCCTTTAAGAGCGAATGCCTTGGGTGCCCCACCAGCAACAATAAGATACATGTCCTGAACTGCTTTAAGTCCCGCCGCCACCCCAAGGGAATCATGAGATGCAGGCCTTGTACGACCCCCCCAATCACCCTTGATGTGATGATCCAGGAAGCGCAATGTGCGCTGGAGGTGATACAGTATGCATGCATATCCGAACTAAGTCACATGCGCTGGTCCTCCTCCTCCTCCTCCTCTTCCTCGTCCTCCTCCTCCTCCGCCTCCTCCTCCTCCTCCTTCTCCTCCTCCTCCTCCTCCGTCTCCTCCTACTCCTCCTCCTCCTCCTCCTCCTCTTCATCCTCCTCCTCTTCGTCTTAGCAGTATTACTCTCATTAGTATTAGTAGTATTACTTAGTATGGTTATGGTTCGTCTTATTATTGTGGGTTAGTGTTAGTGTTGTTATTCGTATGAGTAGTATTAATAATATGTTTATCATCACTATTAATAGTATTATTGGTTTCAGCATTATTAGTATTACTAGTAATTTTGAGATTGTTAGTATTATTCTTAGTGTTAGAAGTATGGTTGTTATTATAATGCTTATAATTATTCCTATTATAACTATTACCATTCGTATTCTTGATAATAGTATTATTAACAGTATTGTCAGTAGTAGTGTTAGTAGTAGTACTGTCCGCATTGCTCGTATTACTCATCTTGTTATTCCTTTTAACCTTACTATTAATGTTCTTATTGTTATTAGTCGCATATGGTTCATATTATTATTATCATTATTCGTAGTAGTCTTAGTTTTCTGTTCGTATTATTAGGGTTTGTGAAGTCTTGCGATTATTATTCTTATTATTAGTATTACGAAGGTTATTTCTGTTATGATTCCTCCTCCTCCGCTTCCTCCTCCTCCCCCATCCTTTTCCTCCTCCTGTTCCTCCTCCTCCTCCTCCTCCTCCTCCTCCTCCTCCCCCTCCTCATCCTCCTCCTCGTCCTCTTCGTCCTTTTCCTCCTCGTCCTCCTCCTCCTCCTTCACATTATCCTGTTCCTTTTTCTCCTCCTCCTCCTCCTCCTCCTCCTCCTCCTCTTCATCATTTCCCTCCTCCTCCTCCTCCTCTTCCTCGTCCTCCTCATCCTCCTCCCCCTCCTCCTCCTCCTCCGCCTCCTCCTCCCCCTTCTCCTCCTCCTGCTCCTCCGCCTCCGCCTCCTCCTCCTCCTCCTCCTTTTCCTCCTCCTCCTCCTCCTCCTCCTTTTCCTCCTCCTCCTCCTCCTCCTCCGTTCCTCCGCATCACCCCCTTATTACATTGTTGTCCCCCCTCGTCCCCTTTTGTTCTGGCCCTCCAAAGCCCCCCATCCTCCTTGTATGCCTCCCCCCTCCTTTCCCGTCCATCCGCTTCATTCCGCCCCCCACCCCCCCGCCAGGTCTTCCTGCCAATGTTTCCCCCTCCTCTTCCTCCCCCACACCCGCCCATCCCAACAGCACGCGCGCGGCGATCCCCGCGAGCGTTCTCCCCCTCGCCGTCTGGGCTGCGCCTGCGGAAGAAGGAGCGGGGCCTTCGGCTCGTCCTCTGCGGCGGGGGCGCGGCCGCAGCCGCCGCTGGCCATCGGCGTCAGCGTCGCCGTCGTCGCGAACCTAGACGGGTGAAGCAAACCAGGCCTCGGCCTCCGACGATACGAATGTTTTCAATCGCAGCGTTTCCCTTTCGCCCCGACCTCCCGGGGCCGCTTGACCGGGAGGAGTGGACCCAGGACGCAAAGCTATACCCAGGAGATGGGCAGTTGAGTTATGGGGCCGCAGCTTGGAAGACTACATGTCGGTGGATCTTTGAGAACCCCCCGCCCCATCCCCAGCGGGGAAACCTTGCTGGCCCCGCCGCCCCCACCCCAGCGCAGGGAAGGGCGCTGTCTCCTTCGGAGCTCGCGACACCGATCCCCACCTGATGGGAATAACAGCGCCAGGAGAATTGGCGAACACTGCCCCGTTGGGGTGTGGGGGGTTATGACTTCTCACGGTGATGAATGAAGATCGAAGCCCCTCGCTTCGCCACTTTCGCCTTGTTCCCAAGACCGTCGGAGGTCGATCGAAGGTGAAGAGACTGTCCAAGACAGCCAGACCCTGGGATGGGGTCTGGGGACCGAGCTTGACAACCTTAAAAAAGGCCGCTGCCAGCACAGGACCTCAGCATCCAGGTGCCTCCTCTTAGCCATCTAGCGCCGCGCGTCCATCTCCCTGAAGATCCAAGGCACTGGCGGCCTGCCCACGCGGCGAAGAAAACGCGAAGTGAAAGGCAACAGGCGCCCCCTGAACCAGGAGGGAACGCGGACGACAGCTGGCCAGCGCCCAGCCGCGCCCTGGGCGGGGCGGCAGGAAGACCGGCTGTCCGAGCGTCGGGTTGACGCCCGAGCTGGCAGCGAAAGCGCCGATTGCGTTCCTCGCCCCGCCGCGCTGGTGGACCCGGCCCCCGGCCGCAGCGCAGCGGCCAGGGCGCTGACCGCGGCGGTCGCGCGCGTCTTCGAAGCAGGGGCAGACGCATTCAGTCTCGCACTCAGGCATCAGCAGCCGGCGTTTCACCTCGCAGGCGAACTCCCCAGGTTCGAAGAGGAGCCCCAACTGCTCGCCAGGCGTCCTGGCAGCATCCCTGAAAGGACGTCGGCGCGGTCTGCGGCATCCAAACCAGCCAAGGAAGACCCGGCGCCCGCGCTCACCGTACTCGCGGCCGAGAAATGCTTCCGCGTGGCTCCATCGAGCGCCCGAGGAACCAGGCCGCGCGCCGGCGACAGCCAGGCGCTGCGAGCCCCTCCAGCGCGGCCGCCCCTCCAGCGCGGCCGCGCCCTCTGGCGCCCGCGCGAAGGCCGCGCCCAAGTCGCCGCGGAAGAGCCGCGTGGCCGCGAGGCTGGCCATGTTGGCGCCAGGCGCGTTCAGGCACAGCCCTGCGCGGGCGACCCCTCGGCCGGCTCGGTTCCACCGTCGCGGACTGCCGGACATATGGCGCTGGGGGTCCAAGGAAGGCAGGGCGGGGCGGGGGCGTAGTTTCCCGCGCGGAGCTCCGCGCAAGCCCGGGGCCACGGAAGAAATGCAAAATGGGGCGGGGACACGCGCGAACGAGAGGGACCGCAAGGGCTTCGGGAGAACAGCGCCGCAAATTCTCGTGGATCGAATTCCGTCTGGCCCAGAAACAAGATCGGCTTGGCTCCGCAAGCCCTGACCCCTCCCTCTCCACCTCCTCGCCCCCCCTGCTCTCCTCGCCCCCTCCCGGGGCGGGGGCGGCGGCCCCCGCCGAGCTCCGCGGAGACCGCGATGCTGATCCGCCCGATGAGACGCCGGGTGGAGGGGGGCCGGGCTCGTCGTCGTCCTCCTCCTTCCTACCATCGCAATCCTCCTTTTCCTCATCGCGACGGCCCTCTCCCACCTCATCTGGAAACCTCGTTCTCCTTCTCGCAGCTTCACCCCCGCCCTTCTCCATAGTTGTCTCGCGAGGCTCTTCCTGGGCACGGGCTGCCAGGGCTCGTCGCGAGGCCCCCCTAGACCTCGACTTCAGGCCGCGATTTAGCGAGTGCTCGCCACAACGCCCACGCTCAACCACAAGGCGCAGAGAGCCCCGAGCGAGGGCATCGCGCAACGCTGCATTGCCGCTACCGGGGTCTATCTTGGCCAGCGAGTCCGCTGGCACGATGGCGCGTGGCAACCACCTTAGCTGCGAACCAACGTTGGACAGAGAATCGCGCGCAACGGCACTCTCGATTGCGTTTCGTCTGTCGGCCTTGGAACCCGCGCTGTCTTCCGAGAGGGCACCGAAAACGCCCTTGGCGTCGACCGCCGAGAGAGCCGACGCCAGGTCCCCGAGCCCACGATCCCTGGAGGGGGCCATCGACAAGGGACCCCGCGACTGCGTCAATTCTGGGAGCGCAACATCTCCGAAAAGAGCGCCTCGCCGTAGCGCCCGCAACCGCTGGGCCCCCGCCAGGGCCCGCGAGACGACAGCGCCCCAGCCGCTATAGCGCTGGCCGCCGCGCGCTTCACTCTAGGAACACCAAAATAATAATAATCATAATAATAGCAATAATAATACTAATAATAATACTGATAATAATATTCATGATAATAATACTAATACTAATACTAATACTAATACTACTAATAATATGAATAATAATACGAATAATAATAATAATAATAATAATAATAATATTAATATAGATAATAATAATAATGATAATACTAATAATAATAATAATAATAATAAAATAAAGCTCCTCGGCCCGCCGGCTCTCTCACTGAGCGGCCCGCGGCAAACGCGAGCCATCCAGCCTGGGCGCCGCCCCGGCGGGCTGAGCCCGGGAACCCCGCGTCGGAAGCCGTGGGACATAGCATTCTGACTGGGTCGAGGCTCCAAATGGCAATGCAGCGAGGCGCCGAGGCACGAAAAAACTTCGCGACTTCGCCGGCCACGAGAGCGTCGGCATTGACAGGTCCAAGCAGAACGGCAGCGAAAAAGGGCGCGCCCCCCGCGACGTCAGGCCTGGACACCCGCCCAAGACATTGAATATGCGCAACCGTGGTCCTATGCGAAGAGATCTCAGACTAAGTGAGGGCGGCTTCCGCTTGGGACTTCCTTTCATAGGACAACGCGATGGGGGAAAACTGCCCCTCGCGTACTCTTCCTGGTCGACGATGATCTTCGGCCGGCATGGTGTGCCACGCCCCTACCCCCACCCTCGCCAAACTTGAATCTCTCGAGGAGGCGAGATTTCAGCTCGGGCAGCGCCGTAGCATCTCCCGAGATGAGTTAGGCGTCAAACCCGACAAGCGCGATTCCCTGAAAGCTGCCAGAGGGAGAACGGGGAAGCCACAATCACGGCTCCAACAAAGACTTCGCGAAGCCCATCTCCGCCATATGCCCCGCGAGAGCCCTGTGCCAAAGGAGCGGGGCGCCGTTCAGACCGCGCACTGGGGCCGCCAGCTCGATCGGCGCCTCTGCTGGAAGACCTGAGCAGGCTTCGACGTGAGTAGCGCCGCCGGGGCTTCGACAGAACAAGTTCTTGGCGCCCGCGACGCCCAGCTTCCAGACCGCGCGGGCGATCGCCTGCGCTAGCATTATGGTTTCTGACAGCGGAGCGGGCGCGTAGACCTGGAGGCTTTCGCTGCCGCAATCCTGGCGGCCGCGCGCGCGCCGCGTGCCCATGGCGAACGGCCAGCTGCGGACGCCCTCGGCGGGCTTGAAACGCCGCGCCATCCAAGGAGAATGGGCCCCACCCGGGAGCCGCCACCCTGGGGTCCTGGACTCTTCCGGGGACAGGGCGCGCACTGCTGCGGCGGCCGCCGTCGCAGCGCGCCCCGTCGCGTCCGAGGCTTCAGAAAGGCGCCCCTCTTCTAAGGTAACATGTTTCAGCTGAGCTCCAGCACCTCTGCGAGGCGCCGGCGCGGCACCCACCCCGGATCCAGCGATGCAGTCCGGAAGGTTCGAGGACGACGCCTTCTCCTCGCGCCCTCGCAACGAGAAAAAGGAATGGCAGATGTAGCCCCGAGCCAAAAGTTCACCCATCAGAATGCGACCCTGCCCAGGTTCCCCACTCCCCCAGGGAGCCCCCGAACTCGACTGGCCCTTTTGGCTGGATCCCCCCCCCGCATTCATTCCCCATGTCGGCTCTGGCCAGTCCTCTAGGGCTGGCGCGGGGTTCACTCGCTCGGGCCGCGTCGGAGACCTGCTTCGAAGCCCCCCCTGCGGCTCAGCAGCCGATGGGGCCCCCCCGACGATGACCTCTCTCGCTCTCTCACCTCGAGCAACCTGGGCGGATCCCGCCGCGGCGCGCGCCGAGAAGGAGATCGAGGCCCCTTCCCCCTCCCCTATCCGCGATGCGCAAGGCCGAGGAACCCGGACCAGAGATCTCCTCAACCGGAGTTAGCTTACCGGGCGCACCCCTCGGCTCCGGCGGCGGCTGCTGGAGCCGATGCCCACGCTCGGCTTCGAGCCGAACAACGCTCGGATAGAATTGATTGAAATCCTCGCCGCCGGGGCGCCGGGGATTGCTGCTCTAAGGAATCCCCCGCTGGCCTCCGCGCACTTCCTCGGCTGACAATCTCTTGACTTCCATCCCCGTCGGAGTCGATTGAGAAAACGTCCTGGGAGGACAGCGGGCGAGGGTGGACGGGCGAACGCTGTCCAACTCCCGCTCTCAGAAGACTTCCTACCTCAGGCGCAGCCGTGGACGCGACGGAAGCGGCCTGCCCCCGTCGAGGGTTTGAGAGGTCGCCGGCTGGCCGAGGCCCCACTGGCCGCGCAGGGCCCGCCTCGGGGGGGCCAGCCTGTTCGGGGACATCCCAAGCCTCTGGCGGGGAAGGCCTCCCGATTCGACGTCGACCGCCCCGGCGCGCTTTCCGGGGGCCCCAAGTTCCTGCCGCCCCAACTGATCGAACCAGGGTTGTCCCGGAGCTTCGCCGCCAGAGCTTCGGGCCTGGTCGCAGGCCTCACCTGTTCGACCGAACACTTCGGCAACCGATGGCGCATCGCCACCCAAACCATTCCCCGGGACTGGAGCCCCTGGGCCCGTCCAGCGGCCCCGTTGAA